TGGTGTTTGGATTTCTGTTCAAATGGCAAATTGAAAAGGCACAAGGGAGCAGCTTAGAAATGTATTCTTCACTTCCCTAATTGACAGATATGTTCCCTAATTTTAAATAAATAAAGGCCACAAAATTTCAGCTCACTGCTTGAAATCAAGATATTTACAATGAATTTAAAGCTAGCAAAGGTTATGTTCAATACTCAGAGCTACAGATTTGTTTTTGTGCCTTTAAGATTAAAAAACTGCATAGCAGGGCTATCTCTTACCTGAGGCATAATCTACAAGAGCACACAATTATTACCAAACAATGGTTGAAGCATGGGAAGCTTGCAGAGAAAATGCCTTTTCTTTGACGCAAATAAAAATAGTTCTTAAGATATGCTGCTTTATTTACTTACTAGCAAAGGTGTTTTATTTTAACCCTATTACTCATATTTGTATAGTGTATCTCTATTAAAATAAATTAACCATAACTTAAGTTTCTATGCCCCAGGCTACTCTAAGATGAGAACATCCCTACCAGGGAAGCTTAGAGTGCTACACCCTGCAGGGATAGCAAAACATTTGTTAATATATGAGGCATGTTTAAAAGTATGTCTATCAATCCAAAAACCTAAATCAGATGTTTCTTGTAGGTTTGAAACTGTGTGTGTGTGTGTGTGTGTGTGTGTGTAAACAAAGCACCTACATCATAATCTCATACACAGAATACATATCAAAACTCATCTTCTAACATTCATACAATAAACATGCATATATAAAAGATTGAGAGCTATTAATCAATAGAATCTGAGCAGGTAATAAAGTAAGAATTTAACATTTTTGTCCCTTACTGCAGTCTGGAGTTTGGTTTGGTGTTTTTAAAATCTGTCTTATGATAAGTACCCACCCACCAGGCAGTTGTGAATCACTGATATAGTTAATGAAGGCAGGCATCACCAGTAAACATATAGAGTCCACAAGTAACACTGCCTTTTAATTATAACGCAGACATGACATATTTGAAACCTGTACTTGAAAGAGATAAAAGTTGTGCTACCTGTTAGTAATACATTCTTTCACAACAGGTGTCCTATCAACAGGTGCAGAAGAACAAGCCCATAAGTGGAATCATGTTGTGAAACGCACAGTGCATGTTTCAACAAGAACTGTCAGGATTTAGCAGCTTGCCTTAAACAGACAAATTGAACAGTAAAATGCAATCTTGCCGCAACTAATTCAGGAAGAAATATTTCTGGAGCAATTCTGATGTTTATATATTCAAATCTCTTGTCCTCACCAAGAAAACACATAACAATCAAAATGGGACCTCTTGTATTCATTTGATGCATTGATAGTTTAATTCCATGAGTAAAAACTAGCTTTGCTGGTAGTTTCTGTAATCAGCTGTACAAATGAACATGGATATTTAGTGAAATGATTTTTTTTTTAAATTTCAGGATTATAAAGCAGAGACTTCCAATTTGCTGAATTTCCCAGGCTAGCCCAGCTGGAACGGTTTTGACTTTCAGCTTAACAATTGGAATGTCAGTTATATTGATCCCTGATATACATCTTGTAAAGTATTGAAGAAAACTCACATAAGCACAATGATGTCAAATTTGAAATCTGCAGATCCGCAGCAAAAAGAAATATAAACAGTCTCTAAGAGTTCACAAATTTTAGCTAAGGATGAATCACTTGGATATAAAAGTACTGCTTAAATAGCTCAACAAATTGATTATCTGAAATTATATCATTATAATGCATTTGACCATTATATATTTTAATAAGATCAATTTCTTATATAATACCCAGTACCATTTTTGTATACTATTTCACTGTCAACTTCAATCACCTTCCATACTGTATATGTTAAAACTATTTTTTACTTCAAACATTAAGGATCAGCTAAACTCTGAAATGTGAAATTACTATGTAACATCTGGCCCAGGACATTTATTATTCAAAACCTACTTCATGCAAATAATTATATATTTAAACCAGTACTGTCAAGCCATTATACATCTGGCAAGCTATATTTTAAGATCTCAAATATTTTCAACTGACCTGATATCAAAACCAGCACTTAACTTCAACTCACTGGGCAATCTTAAACAAATGATTTTTTCTTCAGCTTCAATGTCACCTTCCTCTTATTCTCTAATAATTACCTTTATTCTACAATCATTCTAAATGGTACTGAAAAAAAATACTTTTGAGGAAAAATGTGAACTTTTGAGAAAGGAGTATTTTTTTCATCTACTACTTACACTAAAATATCAATAACTTCATGGACAGATGAAACAATTATTTCTTTTTTAAAAAAAGAAATTTCTAAATATTTTTTTCACATTATTTTAATGCAGATCACTAATTTCTGTTTCCTTCTCAGATATCCCAAGGTTGGACTGAGGTTGGACTATGTTACAACTAATGAAAAAGAAATCTTGAAAATAGCCATTGACTGTTATCTATACTTGTTCAAAGCATGCTGGGATCACAAACCAAGTTTGTTGCGGTTGAAAAGAACAAATCATGAAAGATCCAAAAGGATGGCCAAAACATCAACCCAACCTTAGTTTCTACTACCATTTAACATTTTAAAGCCACAAAAATTGGGACAGAGCCAGATTAATATTCTATTTAAAACAATTTTGAGTTTCATTCAAAATTAGTCTAATAAGCCAAACACTGTTATTTATGAAAAGATAACTAATGTAAAATTATACAATTATATAAATGGTAGTTGAATATATGATAATCAAAATTCATTTGATTTATATTTATAAGTTATTTATTTTTTCTAAAATATTTTTCTATTATTGATTGCAATACCAGCTGCCCATTGCTTATAACAGTGTTGGCGGACCTTTTTGGCACTGAGTACTGAAACAGGAGTGCATGCGGACACACGGGGGGGGCACTGGAAACCGGAAGACCAGTTCCCCGGTGCACGCAGGAATGCTGGAAACTGGTGGAGCAGTTCCCCAGTACATATGTGCGTGCTGAGAAGCTGAGCTTCTGGTTTCCGGCAAGCACATGCAGTTGGCCACCTGGTCTTCCGGTTTCTGGTGTGTATGTGCGTAAGAAGACCAGCTGGCCAGCGTGCATGCATGCACCGGAAACTCAACTTCCCAATGCACACATGCATGCCAAGGAGCTGCTCTTCCATTTTCCTGCACTCCTGCATGTGCAAAGACCGCGCATGTGCACGCTGGAACCCAGAAGAGCAATAGATGATGGCTGGCATCCCCAGAGAGATGGCTCTGTGTGACACTTCTGGCACGCATGCCATAGGTTCGCCATCACAGTTATAACATAACCTTTAATCATGAAAGGAAAAAATATTGAACATCCTCAAAAAGCCATTTTTTCCCAAAGGAAAAATTAGTTAAATGAGCTACCAAATCAAGAAAATTGTTCAATACTTGAACCATTCCTACAAGAAAGGGAAATATATTTATGAGCAAGTCTCTAGTTTCAAGAAAATTACATCTCATTCAAGTTTCGATTCAACTTGTTCAGTTTTCACCTGTTTCACTTAACATACTCTAATAGCAGGTGGAATAAAACCGCATAGAACAAAGAAGATGTGACTAATATTAAAGTAATATACATCCTACAAGTTTCATCAAGCAGCAACAGGCTTTGTTAAGTAGATGAGGAAAACTTTTAACTCTTAAACTTTGCCAACATGAAATATAACATGTTTCTTTTTCTTCTTCTTCTAAAGAACAAAGAAAAGCACCTAAATGAGTTTTCTTTCTACTAATAGTTTCACTAATACTACAATTTCACATAATCACAGATAGAGCAAGAAAGACTTTGCTCTTATTTTCTACCCTTGAGTTTAGGAAATAAACATGTGCATTTCAATCTGAGACCCTACCTGTTGAGATATGCCCCAGTACACTAGAACATCATAAGCAGACAAAGCCCTCTACTCTAATACCTCTTTCTGTAGCTACTTAATGGCTGCAATTTCTTCCTATTTGTAAAAGAACTCAAGTCAATGGCTTTAATAATTAATAAAGCAGAGGATGAATAGAAGAATATTGTTTTTAACTATCTTTTGCATCACTGAATCCATTGTAATACACCCAAAATGGATGTGATGACTAGACATATGAAGTAGCTGGCCATAAAAATTTCACAAATTTATGCTAATATATAAAAGATATTAATAAATCAAAATTTTCTTAAAGTTAATAAGTTGCACATAAACTAATTTCTTAGTTTTGTTGTCATAGATTAGTAGTTGAATAAGCCAAATTAGAGGTGTGAAAGCTACATGCTGCAGGAAAGAGGGAGCACATAGGAAGACATCTCATTCTCAGACTAGTAATCAATGTATATTATATTGAGATGTCTAACTATTTACCTCAGCTGGTTTGTAAATAGTGTCACATTCAAAACTAAATAATTGACTAATAATGCCCATGAATGATTATCATTATCTAAATTTCTTTGTCAGTTCATAAGTGCAATCCTTTGTCTTGTTTTACTTTTGCAACAAAAACAAATATTCTTTCGGGATGTTGCATCCTATACCGCTAGAGAGTGACTGGTCGAATTAGGGGGTGGAGTCAAATGAGGAGTTAGTCTGGATCCCTACATAAGGATAAGAGATTGAAGTCTAACTGCTCTTGAAGGCTGTTGAGCCTTAGCTAGTCTGATTCAGGTGCAAACCACCAGTCTAAGGGGATTCCTGTATTACAGGCTTGCACATACTATAAATAGCTAATTGAACTTTTTGAGTGTGGATCTGATTGTTTGCGTCTAACACATATGGCTCGAAAGAGCTCCAATACTTTTAATTATTATACAAGGTAGAGAACTTTGCAGATTTCCCTTGCCATATATGCTAAAGTCTTCTCCAATGCAACTAAGAATAGCAGAGGAATTTTATTCTGTGTCCTGGCAGCCACATACAATTTGGAAATACTTCCAACAGGGAGTTGACACAGTTTAAAAATAGCATTTAAAAAAGAAAAATGGGATTATCTTTGAAAACAATTGTTTACCAGGGCTTGAAGCATGCCATCCATTACAATAGTCCCCTCAATGGTCTGAAAAGAGGATTTAGATAATGTTGAAAGGGTCCAATCCAGGAAGTCTGCCATTCTTTTTTGTCTGACATCAGGGCGGGTAATAAACCTACACACAGAGAAAAAACACACACGTTGCAATTTACCCATTCAGAGCAATTCAACTGGTAACACATTTTTCCTGTTAGCCAAACTGGTTTTTTTTTTTCCCCTGAAGGCAATTGTCCAATGGATGCTTTCCAACATATTTAAATTGGGAACATTCCAACTGTAAGTTCTTTAACTGTATCTTTTCTAAAGAAGGTCATAATGCAGAAATATGGATTGTCACAGTATACATCAAATCATCTTGAAATGGTGGAGGAAAGGAAAGGAAAATAGAAATTCACTTATAGCGTATCATTTTTGACAATATGCCTTAAAAGTATATTTCCCATGTTCCTATAACACAACAAGTAACAAGTAAACAAGTAACTTTCTCCAAATCTTCTTTTCCTACTAGTAGGGAAGGTAAATCTTCCTCAAGCTGATCTCAGTGCAGAGAGATTATATGGACACGTTCATAGTTTTCTTGGTAACAATATGGAAGTTATTGAATGATTATTGAATCTTTTGAATGATGTGGGAGTAGGAATGGATTTCCAGAGAAAAAATTGCAGATTACAGGAACCAGGAGCACTACTCAGGTGATCCTAAGGGCAGAGATAAACCTCCAAGTGCTTCAATGACCCTCTAAAAGGAAGCAGATTACCAGCTGTCTGCAAGGAATATAAATCCTTCCATTCCCCACTATCCTATCAGAGCTGAAGAAGCTTCTTGAATGAGAAGCGAAACGTCTTCAAAAGAAAAAACAAGAAAGTTCAGTTGCCTCCTGAAAAAGCACCTTCGGGACAATATGGAAGTTATTTGTAATTACCTTCTTCCTGTTTTTTGTTTTTTGTATTTCTTTTACCTTTCCCAACTAGCCTACAGTTCAGAAATGTCCTGATGATTTCCCATTCAAATATTAACAAGATCCAACCCTGAGGGTTTTTTTTAATTAGCTAAGTTTGCATGGACCTGTCACCTAGTGTGACATTATATAAAAGCTAGCAGCAAAATAAGGAAGGCTGACCCTGCTTTTTTCCAGTTCAAGGATTGCTAAGGAAATTAGGAAATGACCAGATCTTGGATGTTAAGCAAATTCAAGCCTCAGCTATACTTATATTGTATGTAATTTGATCTTGATTAGAAAGACAATATTGTTATGGTATTGGTCTGTCCCCAAGTACACCGATGTTCTAGTTTATTCATAACCACAGAAGCCCACTGGATGACTTTGGGCCAATTATTCTCTCTCAGTTCAATCTACATCAAGTGGTTGCATTATAGGGAAAAATAGGAGGGCGGAATACTATGTATCTTGGGATCCTCTATGAAAAGTGGGATATAAAGATTATGTAAAATAAATAAACAAACCCCAGGAGCAAAAGTTTATTTTTAAAATGTGATTCTTCCAAATGTATCTTGAACTGTAGGATGAAATGTCTGACTTCTGTTTTTTTTTTAACAAAAGCAATATTAATGTGGATTATGGGCTTCATAATGCTGTATTGTTTTGTCAAATATATTTTCAGTGGATTTGCAATAATTCCTATAAATCCAACACAATATATAAAGTGATTTGCACAAATGTCTTGAAGTTCCCACTAGATATCACTAAAAGCATTCCAATATGTCTTGGCACTTAACATATATTGTATTTCAAGAATGACATGGAAGACACTTCCAGTGAGGCCATGGCATCTCAAATGTCTCTGCCAAAGCAGGACAGTGTTCATGGAAGACATCAGTGGCTGGATATTGGATCCTGGGTGGTGAAATCTCTCCAGAAAAAGAAGAGATTGTGAGATCACCCACATGTACCCTGGGGAACTGATCCTCCTGCTTAGACTGCAAGAAGTGAGGGTTTTTGGTTGGTTTATGAATTGAGCAACTGGAAGTCAAGGGAATACTTCACCTAAATTCACAGTTGTAACACAACTCAATCAAGTCCCATTTCTTAATTGCCTTTGAAATTGCTTTTTACTGATAATATAGGACTTTGAATGTTGGACACTAGAGGGAAGTAGAAAAAATTAAAGATGATAATTAGAAGAATCAGATTTGACAAACTAGAATAAAATGAAGCAAAATATTTAACAGTGGATGGAGACTTGTGAACAATAGGCTTGGAAATTAATTTTAAGAATATCTAACTTCATGGATGAGTAGCGTGCAAATTGTCTTATAAAAAAGAACAGGCTATGCCAGAGATTAATTTTAATGTGCATTTAAACATGAGAAGTTACAAGCATGATGTGGAAAAGTATGGAGGATATGCTGAATATACAAATGAAACTGGATGAAGTCTTGATATTTGAAAGAGACAAGTATGAAAACAGAAAAGTTATTTGGATAACTTCCTTTTACTGGATTTACAAGAGATCTGTTAAAATTTTGAAGAATATTCTGAGAGGAGACCAAGAGAAGATGTAAACATATCAAGCCTGAGAACACTTTTTGAATTAAAGTTTGCATTAAAAGTCAAGATTTTATAAATACGGAAAAGGAACACAGAATTGGCTTATTTGATCAAGTTATCAAGTTATTTGATGTAGTTATCTCTGATAGCCTTTAATGGACTTTGCTGATAAAGAATGAGTGATGAAGTTTTAAGATTTTTGTTTATAATTAAGAGATGAGATATGGGAAGAAAAAAAACATTTGTTGCATTTTAAGAAAAGGTGATAAGTTACTAAAATTATTTGTAGCTGTCATAATGAAGAGGGGTGTTCTTTTTTGTTTGTTTTTTCTATATTTTATTTCTTTTGCTGCTTTCTATTTTTCCTTTTCAATCTTATTTTTTGTAGTCTATTAATTTTTATTTTTATCATTGTAAACTATATCAGAAATTATTTTAAAAATGATTTGGAAGAGTTGCTTCAAATCTCATTAAGTATAACAGTTCTCACCTATTCATTAAGATATACACATTTTTCCAACCTTACACAGACCTGAAAAAATGGGATGCTTTAATGAAAAGCAGAGAAAATCTATAATTGCTGTAATTAAACAAGATCCAAAGACTTTTGAACAATTTTCAAACCATGTGCTCCTTCATATTCTGTGAAATTAGATCTATTCCTTCATAAGATGTTTTAAAAATTACATTTTAATATATTGCCATTATATAGTAGAGCTAAGCTGTAACCTCTGAGGAATTTTGGCAATGTAAATTACAAAAAATAAAGCATTATTAGATGCAAAAGTAAAGCATTATTAGTTGTAAAGCATTATTGATTTATAAATCTATTTATTTGAAGGCCACTTGATTTATAACAACTCTGGGTGGCAAACAATAAACATGGATGCAAAAAACAATTAGCTAAAGCAAAAGCAAACAATAGCCTGGAGGAAACAACCCATATCATGTATTTTTGTTACAATTTTGTTATTAATTTTAAACAAATAGTGTGGAGGGAAGACGAAGAGTTGAGCTATTGAAGGTATTTAAAAAATATTGACATGTTATGTCAAAACTTTTAATTGTTCTGAATACTCTTAATACAAGAAACAAATGCATTTTATTTATATACTGGTTATTTTATTTATATACTGGTTATATACTTTTACTGCAGTCTCAAATTATCCTATTTGGACACATTATGAAAGACCAAAATCTCTAGTGATGGATCTAATGCTGGGAAGAAGAGGATGACCAAAAAAAAATGGTTTCAGTTACAATGGTAAGAGGTCCACCATTAGAAGATTTGAAATACCCAATTAGGAACAGGTCATCATGGAGGAAATCTGTGGTGATTAATGTTAACACCAACTTGATTATTGTTGTTGTTGTTTACAATATTTACTGACTCTTAACATAAAAAAGATCCTATTAAGACAAGTGATTTGATAAAAAATTCTAATAACCCAACTCTCTCTTTACCACAGTTACGAAAAATAATATATTTCATTTGGAATAACTGATTAAATTTCCCTGGTACTGAAATATTTGAATGTCCTTTAGATGTAGACTTATTTCTTATAATAATAGTTCAGCACTGTAAAGACTGCAGCCAGGACAGGATCGCTAAAAAGGGGGAAAAGATATCAATATGCTCCGAGGATGTTCAAGTAAACAAACATTTGTGGGATGGGGAAGAGGAGATGAAAGAACAGTCATATGTGAACTGACTATATTTAGTTGTCTCCAGAAGCCAAATTGTAGGAATTAAGCAGAAAACATTAAGAGAAATTACAATGTTAAGGATTTAAGTTGTCTTTCTTAGGTTCTCTATTAGTTATAACAAAGCTTAATATAGCAGCCGTCATGGCTGGCAGGCTTGTCTCCCATTCTACCCTCCTGTAGCATAGGTGGAAACTCAAAAAACCCCATAGTAATCTTTCTTGGAAGCAAAGTGATTCCAACTCACCAAGAAACCATGCCTACCACCTTCACTAAGAAAAAGGAACAAGTCAGGGGGCTCCATATTTCTACATGTTTTGTTACCCAAACTTAGCAACCACATCCTGATTTCCCCATTCTTGGTTAAACATATAAATAGCTTTACATACAGAGACACACCAGCCCTACACAACACACCAACATTGACAAATTTGCCATATTGTTACCACTATTGGCAGGGATTGCAATAGAAAAATACTTTATGAGCAACTTTGGCCATGAGAGAATTCTGAAGGCTTATCCCTTCTTTATACCCCATCTTCGACATACGACTATAATGGAGTCTGCTCATTATGGTTGTATGTCAACCAATCTTTTTTGTGGTAGTTGTTAAGCAAATGAGGTGATCATTAAGTGAACTAATAGTTCCCTCTGAGCATGGTTTTGATGAAAATCTGAAGAAAGTGCTGGTTTTCAGTAAAACCATCATAAAACGTGATTGCATATATCCGGGATGCTGCAAATGGCCATAAATGCAGCTGTGCTGCCAAGCACCCAAAGTTCAGTCACATGATCATGGAGGAAGCCTGGCCATCGGAACATCATAACTTGACTAGTCGCTAAATGGCTGGTCGTAAGTCAAAGATTGCCTTAATGAAGAAAACAGGAGTTGGCACAATTAGTAAGCTTACTTCTTGCCCTGAAGCAAATTCTCATGCTGCTATTGTGTATATTGATTTAAGTGCTTATTTATTCATACTACACATGTATACAGCTGCCCAATGGAACAGGTAAGTCTAGGCTTATTGATAATGCTACATTTTTTTAAAAAAAAGGTTCACATTCTTCTCTATCAGCATAAGAAACTTACTTTGAGACCAGGACTGCAGCTGCATCACGAGACTTATCACTTACAACAAGGTATGACTAAAAGTAAGAAGAGATTTGAGTTGAAATTTATCATATTAAAATTGATCATATAAAGTAAATTATATAAATGAACTTCACTTTGTGTGTGTGTGTGTGTGTGTGTGTGTGTATGCAAATCAGGATGGATGAAAAGTTGAAATTTGAGAAAGATAATTAAAAAAAAAACCATTTCTATATAGAATGTTAAGCTAGCATATAAATAAACTGCCAAAAAGTCTGCAAAATTTAAAGATGTGTAGGATAGGCACTTGTAAACAAAACTGTCTTCAAAACTGCTTTAGGAATAGTTTATTTTAATTGCCCACTGCATTTTCCTTTTCAACATTTATATGAACAGAATCAGAAAATACATATTTCTAAACACAATATTTGTTTTAAATTCTGCAACATACTATAGTGCTGGTAAAGGATCATGAATTAGAAAATAAAGTATGCAACTTCAAAACAAAGACACAGTAGCTTTTAAAGGGTCAGTTAACTTTGTTATCAAAACTGATTCTATAAATGAGATTCCCCACCATCAATTAGTATACGATACGCTTAAATGATCATTATGATAATTTGTATAACAAAATGCATAGAGGTACCCGGATTAAGCAGAAAAAAACTATGTTTAAGTTATAATCACTTTTATCAAGTGAAAGAAGCCATTCTATAAATAATGATTTTATGAAGTACACCTACTTTTGCTACTGCCAGAATTCGATCCATTGTTGATACACGAGAGCATCCTTCTATGGAAGAGATATTTCCATCCAGCCGTACCAAATCAAATGGGATCAAACATGTTACAGATAACCACAACAGGAGCATGTAACGAGTCTCCCAGATCTAACAAGGCAGGAAAAGAATCAGAATAAAATACATAGTGAATGTTCTCAGAAAACTTCCAGTGTACATTGTGAAAACTATTTCTACTTGCAAAATCGAGATAGGAAATTATCTTGATGATAAATTAAGACAAGTATGATAAAAAAGGAGGCATGTTTAGTTCTATTAGGATTTGAGTTTTGTTGAACCCAAAGACAAAGTAAACATAAACACTAGAGTTTTGGAAAAATACTTTGAATGCAAAACATTTCAATCTCAAAGTGGGTCTGATATCTGAAGTACTCCTAGCTTGATTCAAAGTTGGGGGGGGGGGGAAACTGTTCAAAGCTCAAAACATTTTGCATTTGATATATTTTGTTTATCACTTGCAACGATCCATAAGTAGATAGAATCTGAAACAGTTTTGCCATTCTGTTAACTTTAATCAAGTTCAAAGTTAATAGCTGGTCATTTTCAAATTGCAACTCAGAAACAAAAAATAATTTTGACAATGTATGTCTCTAAGCAGAATGATCAGCATTCATCAAAGCTAAACTAGCTAACATGTTACCTAGTAATAAGTATTGAATCAAACTTAGTTTGGGGTGTAGATTGTGTCTCATCATCCTAATATTGTATTTGCCTAATGGTAGAGTAGAGTTCGTTCATTATAATCTCTGTAGTAATACTGACAGTAACACCAAGGCTTGGGGAATGTTTCAGCAGCCTGCTTTCTGTGTGGACAGTGGACTGCTATAATGGAATGAACTCATTCATAGAGAGGACTTTAGGTAACAAGAGCATACCTCATATTCTTTTGGATTCTGAGCTACAAGCATATCGAGAACAGGCTGTACATCTGCTACTTCATGAGGAAATAATCGCAAGAAGGTTTTATATCCTCGTACCTAGGTGAACAAAAGCATTTCCAGTTTAATGATTCATCTCCATTTATGGAAATGTAAAAATAAATTCCATTGTTTAATTAATATTTGACATCACACCAGCTCTCAAGCTCAAGGGAACTTTCAAGTTGTGCATTTGCAATGCAATAGGCAAACAACTGATGTTTATGTAATCAACACAATGATAAGAGCCATAAAGTACCAATAATAATAGTAAAAATATAAAATAATTACAGTTAAATTGCATATATGTAAGGATCTATTAAAAAACAGAGGGAGATTTTAGGCTCTGTGGAGTTTATTTAAGGACTACTAACTTTTCAATTGCAAACTATGAAAGAGCAATTCTATAAAGCCTTGTCCTTTATGGATAGATCCATAAACCACTGCAAAAGTACAGACTCTCAAAATTTCAAATATTCATTTGATAATAACGATTGTCCCTCTTTTATCTAATTTGAGAGTAGCAGTAAAGTCATATTATTATTATATTAAAATTAAATTTTACCTTTGAAATAATGTAGAGAAACTGAAAGGCCAGATGAATTAGAAGAGGAGGAGATGCTTCACATCGGATAATATCTAGCAACAAATTCAACATCCATTCTAGAGAAAACATAGAGAAATGGGTGAGGCAATAAAGGAAAAATTAGTTGGCTTTTTGTCTCCCGCTAAACAGCCTCACAAATAAGTATCAGAATGGATTACCTAATTTGTTTCATGGAAAACACATGTTGCTGTTATGATCTGACAGTGACTTTCTTCAGATATTGAAATGTTGTCACAAAGTAGAGGAAGAGATTGGACTAAGATTGCGTAAGACCAAAGAAAACAGGCAAAGGAAGATAAATATGGTATCACAATGTTTCACTTTCCTACTTCAGCCCTAATTCTGTGCTCTTACTATTGGATAATGGTACGCTGATCATTGAGAAAATCTATGTGGTCACTAGGAGTTGGAAATTACTTGATGGTAATAATCAGTTGACAGACATCTCTAGATCTGAGTTTGGTTTTTCCAGATGCTGATTATGTTCTCCTGATCAAATTATATGATAGGTGAATGATTAATTCTTGCCTGATCTGAGTTTATTGCTCAGGAAAGTATCCATAAGATAGAAATAAATGTTCTACTGCACACATCTGATGCACTTTCAACAGAAAGAGTAGAGTTGGCCTACAACTCAAATGAGGCACATGCTTGGCAAGAAGCACTTGCCATCTCTTGTCAAAATTCAAAAGAAAGATGGGGAGACGTGCATTACTTCTTTTTCCATATAAACTTGCCTTACAAAGTATCAAGAGAATTGCACCATGCTTTCAAGAAAATAATCACAATTTCTACAGAGGGGGATTGGGAGAGAGAAAGAGAGAGACTTTTCACATTGGAAACAAAATATTATCCCAAAGCCTCTAGGATGAGTTCATTTTCTAGATGGATATTTACTGGAAAATTAAATTGTTCTTTACTATTCTCCTTCTTGTCTTAATCTCTATTAATGATATGAAACTGGAGGTGTATCGATTTCTTTAAGTAAAGCTGCTTTTGGAGGCAAGTGTATTCTAGACAGAGAATCCCAAACACTGGATTAGGAAGAATCTTCTGCCACACACTCTTAAGAAGAAGAAAAAATCAGTATCATCCATGCTAATAAAAAATAATATTTTATCAGAATTTTACAGAATTTCAATATTTACCTAAATGAGAATCCAAAAGATGAGGCTGTTCCTGGTATTTATCCATTATAACTGAAAACAAACAAAAAAACATACTCAGTTATCAAGCGATTTTCTAACATCAAAATGACACATCAATGCTTTGGCATTAAGAAAAGTTTTCCCTAAGATTCTGAACTAAGTAAGCCTACTGTGACTTTTTAAAGTACAGGTAGTCCTTAACTTATGACCATAATTGTGATCAAAGTTTCCACTGCTAAATAAGGTGGGTTGTTAAGTGAGTCCTCCCTAATTTTATGACTCTCTTTGTTGTGGTTATCAAGCAAACCGCTGCAGTTAAGTGAATAACACCGTCATTAAGATTGTTTAAAGCCAGCTGGGAAGATCACAAATAGTGATCACGTGATCCCCCTGGGATGCTGCAAATATTGTGTTAGTTGTGAAGCACCTGATTTCTGATCATATGACAGTAGGAATGCTGCAATGGCCCTAGGTGTGATGACCAGTTGTAAGCCCCTTTTTCAGTGCTGTTGTAACTTTGAATAGTTGTTAAACAAATAGTCGTAAGTCAAGGATTACCTGTACAGCAAATGGAAAAAAGTACTAAGAGTTGGGATATATTCCTTCATTTTAATTTCTAAGCTATTTTGGCTTCCTTTTAATTTTTTATACAGTAAGACTAAAGAATTCATTTAAATAATTATTAACTTGAATTACATTTACAGAATTAATTTTTCCTTTTTTGAATTTGCTATATTTTATCATAAACTGTTTTCCGGCCATAATATTCAATCTTTATGTTTATTGTGTGCATGGTTCATTATACAAAAAAACCCCACTTAAATAAAGTACACTTGCTAAAAAATAAGCAATGTAAACATGGTTACATGAGAGATATTGTATGTTATAAATAGCATCCTAATAATCAGAGATTAAACGTTTTATATTTAAAAAATGAAAATGAATGAACTCTAGAGTACAAACCAATGATCTCTATCTTAGTGAGACCTTTTGTTTTGGATCATGTTATGGCATCTGTTAGAAAAGGAAGGGGACCAGGAAAGTTACATATACAGGACCTTTTGGGATTTTTTTTGCAAAGACTGGATAGCTAGATCATACTAGATTATTTTATTTGTTCCTCCTTTTCCAGAAGTTCAAGATGCCAATGTTTCCAAAGCTCTTCCAGTAATCACAGAATGAGCAAAGCATGACCTACAGAACACTGATAGCCTATAGCCCCTTTCCTCCACCCTTTACAATCCTACAAAATCAATTATGACAGTGGTGTTTCTCACTTATTTTTGGTGAAGAGAGAACTAAACAAGCTTAACACAATATTAGCATTAAATAATAATCCTGTACTTTCTCCAGAATGGAGAAAGCAGGCCAAAGATTCTAGCCCTTTCCCTAACACACTTTATTCCATTTAATTTACCTGAGAGTATATATTTATACTAATCAATACCATCTTAAATGACAGAGATCATTATTACTATTATTATAAAAATGTGCTAATGTGCTAACCTTGTATAGAATTACATCCATCCAGTTATGGTCAGTGCGCTTTCACGCCATTGTGTTACATTAACAACAGGAGGCAGGTACTATGTGACCATTTCTATTTGGAATTTGTTGGACATACTGCCTGCCTCCTGGTATTCAGTGAATCTGAAAATACACCACCAGATATACACTACATAAAAATAGAGAAATTCATCCCAAGAAAGTAATATGCAGGGCCATAATATAACATCTGCACTTAATGCCCATAGGTGATTTGACTTAATGACCGTAGCCGGAACTGACATCATAAATCAGGCACTGACACATGAAATTTTACTTTACTATCATGTTGCTTTGCGATGGATTTCTCTACTCTGAAGGCTTCAGGGAAATTAGATTGTATATACCAGGGATCCCCAAACTTGGCAACTTTAAGACTTGTGGACGTCAACTCCCCGGGAGCTGACGTCCACAAGTCTTAAAGTTGCCAACTTTGGAGACCTCTGGTATATACTATTGCAGCAACTACTGTAATATGACAAATCATCACTAGGTGGCAATCCAAGATAAATTAAACAATTGACTAACAACACTGAATAAGCAAGCTAAACAAAATATGTTTTTAACTATCACATATAATGTATTTGGGTTAAGGCACCAGGTTAGAAATTGAGAGACTGAGTTCTAGCCTCATCTTAGCAATAAAAGTCAGCTGAGTGACTTTGGACCAGTCACTCTCTTTCAGTCCCACTCACTTAAGATGGTTGTTGTTGTGGAGGAAAGGAGAAAGATGTGTTGGGCAAATTTGCTGCCTTTAGTTATTGGTAAAAATAATAACGGTGGGAACCCAACTTGCGAACTGCAACTCTGGGTGGCTAATACAGGATTAGAAACAAAAATAAAACCAGCAGCATAAAATCAACATAAACAATGTAACTCAAGCCTTAAAATAGCAAAGAGTTGGTGAAATCTACAACACTGGCTTATTCCTAAATCGTATTTATCACCTGTAGAAATAGAATGACCAACATAGACATCTTCATTCTAATTAAATTAATGATGTATTAGATTGATTTTTTTAACATCACTTCCTAAAACCTTTACAGGTAGACTGAAAATGGGATTGACAACTCCATCGCAAAGCAACGTGATCATAAAGTGAAACTTCATGCGTCGGTGCCTGATTTTTGACGTCAGTTCCAGCTACAGTCATTAAGTCAATCACCTATGGACATTAAATGCAGTGTTACATGACTGTGACTTCCAACTTCCTGCCAATTTTCTCACTAACTTGGCTTATCAGAAGCTGGCTTCTGATGTAAATGGTGAACAAATGACCATGGGACACAGCAATCATATAAAATGTGCATTGGTTGCTAAGGCCCCAAATCGCTATCGCATGAGTGCAGGGAAGCTGAAATGGCCATAAGTTCAAGGACTAGTTATAAATCTCCTTTTTCAGCAATGTCATAACTTTAAACAGTGGCTGAATGAGCATTTGTCAGGCAAAAACTTACTTGTGTTACAGTATTAGTAAGATTTACTGTGTACCATAAAAATATTATGAAAGAACAAGGTTAGCATAAGAGCAAAGGCTAAGATCTTCATTATTGTTCTGTTAATGGAATACATTTTATAGAGCAGGGCTTTACTACTTTCCCAATTTCTCTACAGCCCCTCACTCAATGTCTCACGAATATCTGTTTCAATGGGGTCAAACAATTTTCAAAATAATTTAGGATAGTTTTATGAGACTACAAATTTAATAAACTAGGATCTTAAATATTAGCTTTATTATTAAAACTCTTGGAGTCTAATCAACCCCACAGTTATTAAATGCCACAGTTTAAGAATATTTTGCAAATAATTACCTAGCAGACACCAAATAAAGGAAGATTAGAAACTTTAAGCTAAACCCATGGAAGTTTACTGTAAAATTCATTTCCATATAAATGAAACATGGACTTTAATCTAAAGAAAGAAAATGCAAGAAACTTTCAGCACCAAACCTTTTCTGGAAATAATTCTCCACATAAAAAGCAAAATAGCATACAAGAAAACAATAACAATCTTGTAGCTAGAAGAAATATTGCAATATTGCTTTGTATCAAACATTAAAATAATTCACTCTTCAAAAACAAATATGTCTGCTATTAGTAAAACAGAAGCAATAATAATAGCTAGGTAGAAAGTCATTTTACATTCTGTCCCTCTCTCTCTCTCTCTCTCCCCCCCCCCCCCTTTCACATCCATCTCCCTCATACGACGACTCTGGGCAGTGTACAAATAAACATAAAAATGTGACAAACATATTATTGTAAAATAGTTAAAAACAAGAATGGAATAATTACAATTTAAAAAGTGAGGAACGGGCTTCAGAACAGTGTGTTTCTCTGTGAATCCCAAATGAGTCATTATCCTTCCTAATGAAAATTTAAGCGTGTATTTTAGTAGAAAAAATTTACCAGGCTGAGACTAAGAGAATTTATATTCATATTTAAGTTTTACTTTATTGATGAACTGGAAAAAAAATATGTATGATTGCAGTCCCATTGAGTTAGTAAATAAAGGGAGATGAACTGTCTTAATCAATTACTCTTATACTGCACTTGGCAAACAATGGAAATAAAATTTCCAATGATTTATACAAATACACATGCGTATTTCTAATAAAGATCCTGACCAAGATTGATTTTTAATCATCCATGTTTTTAACTTTTATTTTAAAATATTATATCTTACCTTTAAATTTTTCAAGAACTTTTTCTCGCAGTATCAGGTCTTCATATACCGATCTAAGATGATTAATCAACTCCTGTGTTTCTTGTCTCTCTGTAAAACTTTCAAGTATGTTTCCTTTCGCGATGACATCAGGCTCCAAGCATTTGTTGTCTTCTTGATCGTTCCCATCATTGTTCATCTCATTTAAAACCATCTCCTTTCTGATAAATTGTTTTCTAGCAAAATGAAAGTAAATTAACATTAGAGTTAAAACTATTAATTTGTTTCAATAATAACAATCCATAACAGAAGCACAGATAATCCTTATTATCACAATTGGAACTAGACCTTTGGTTATAAAGCAAGATGTTTGTTAAGTGAGTTAAGCCTAAATTTTACCACCTTTTTGCCATGGTCGTTAACCGAATCACTGTGATTAAATCACAAAGACATTAAGCAAATCCATTTCCCCCCATTAGACCTCACTTCATTTAAGTGAGATCTAAGACTTTTTTATCTGAACTGGACAATGACTATTCTATCTTCGAAATAAAGACAATTAACAGTAATCTACAAAGAAAAGTTAGAATATATGATAATTTTCCCTTCCATCTCTTTTCCTAAATTTCCATATTATGGAGTTGCAAGAGTGCTATCTGCAATATCTAGTTTTCACTGGTTTTGTGTATAAATAAATTTCGGAGAAGCTTTAACTACGAGGAAGGATATCTATTTAATATGCAGAGAGTCCAGCTTTAATCCATACGGTAGACTTAGAAAAAGGTCATAATAAAACAAAAGATGGAATGTTCCCCAAAAGAAATGGAAATCAGATAAATTACAATACCTCACCTATTAAATTAGTTAAAATGTAAAATTAAGTTTATTTAATAAAAGGAAAAATGAGTGAGATTGAAGCAATAGGCCATGAATATATTGTAACAAGCTCAGAAAGCTACTGATGCTGTTTATTTATTGCACTGTGTCAAATGATCCCCGGTGGCTCTGCAATAATGCAAAATGTATCTATGTACACCAATATAAATGGCATTTTAGTTATGTCATTGATGTATTAGAGATGGGCTATAGTTTTATAGACAAATATATATGTTTTTCAATTTGAGTAGTGTTCCATTTCACAACAGTAAGTCTGTGTGACTTACAAAATATAAAAACAACACAATAACCTAATATAAAATGTAAACAACACTCAATAAGCTGTTGACAAATTTGAAATCAAAAATCAAATTTAGTAATTTCTGTTGGATAACCTAAGTGCCAACTCTCAATTTATTTTTGAGAATATACCTCTTAATTAATAATTGATCATTCTATGAATTTTTTTCTACATAGTAGTACATAGTCGACTTACCAGTTTGCTTAGTGAGTGTTCAAAATTACAATGGCACTGGAAAAAGTGACTTATGACCATTTTTCACACTTATGGCCATTGCGGCATTCCCACAGTCACATGATTCGCATTCAGATGCTTGACAATTGACTCACATTTATGACAGTTGCAATATCCCGGTGTCATGTGATCACCTTTTGCAACTTTCTGAGAAGCAAAGTTGCTGGGAGAACCAGATTCACTTGACAACCATATTACTAATTTTAACAACTGCAGTGATTCACTTCATAAATGTGGCAAGAACAGTCATAAAATGGGGCAAAACTCACTTAATAGATTTCTGATTTAGCAACATAAATTTTGTGTGGTCATAAGTTGAGGACTCCCTGTATGCCAAATTTCCTTATTTCTCATATTAAATAAATTAATGAACAAATATTACACTAATGGACTTTAATTATATAATCTATACCTCTTCAGGTCCAAGCTACGTTTTGTACAATGAGCTTTATTAAAATACTACCTCTGGAATAAAAAGATATTAAGACATAATCACAAAGGCTAAATGCATTGTATGGGCTGAGGATGCCCTTGTACTAGTCGCACAAACACAGGTGTGTATGTGTGTGTGTCTTGTGTGTAGATATACATATATACACATACATATATCATCTTTTCACTAGGTGTCTTTGGATCAGTCATTTACTTTCAGGTCCCACAAACTTGTAAGTTTGCTGTGGGGAAATAGGGGAGGAAGGAGAACTATGTACATCATGCTACTGAAGGATGGGATATAAATCTAATAAATCTTTATTTGATTTGTCAATTGTTTACAAGATAACAGATATAAGGATAAACATAGTTATGAATACAAGAAATGAGTACATATAAGAAAAATAAAAGAAACAATAGGACAGGGACAGTAGGCACTTTGGTGCGCTTATGCACGCCCCCTACAGACCTCTTAGGAAAGGTGTGAGGTCAATAGTAGAAAGTCTAAGGTTAAAGTTTTGGGGGTTTGGGGAAGAAACCACAGAATCAGGTAGAGTATTCCAGACATTGACCACTCTGTTGCTGAAGTCGTATTTTCTGCAATCAAATTTGGTGCGGTTAACCTTGAGTTTGTATCTATTGTTTGCTCTTGTATTGTTATGGTTGAAGCTGAAGTACTCGTTGACAGATAGGACATTGCAATGTATGATTTTATATACTATACTCAGATCGGACCAAAGATGGCATAGTTTTAGGTTTTCTAGGTCTAGAATTTTGAGTCTGGTGACAAAAGGTATTCTGCAATGAGTAGAGGAGTGGAGAACTCTTCTTGTGAAATATTTCTGGACTTTCTCAACTGTGTTAATATCAGATATGTAATGTGGGTTCCAGACTGATGTGCTGTATTCGAGTATTGGTCTAGCAAATGTTTTGTATGCTCTAGTTAGTAGTGTAATATTACCAGAGAAAAAGCTACTTAAGATTAGGTTAACAACTCTTAATGCCTTTTTGGCTATGTAGTTACAGTGGGCTCTAGCACTTAGATCATTAGAGAGGAGTATTCCAAGGTCCTTGACAGAGTTTGGATCATCAACAAAGTCTTGACTGTTCTGCTTGTATTTTATTTTCTGATTTTTTTTGCCAATATGTAAGGCAGAGCATTTATTTGTTGAGATTTGAAGTTGCCATTTATTTGTTTGATCATTCTGATACATAGAATAGTGTGTGTGTGTGTGTGTGTGTGTGTAGGTCTAGGTGTGTTCAGGTCTTTTCCCGTGTAAGATTTCTTTTTTTTGTAAATTTTATTTGAGTTTTCACAAAAAGAAATACAAATAAAACATCTTTTATGGAAGCAGCAGAATCCCAGGTTACATTTCTTCACACAGACACAAATTCAAGTTCATGCTCATTTTTATATTCTATTCCATATCTTATTACAATTTTACATTTTCTACATGGCTTCTCCCCTCTTAATTTTCTTAATTTTATTTTATTTATTTCATCTCAATTCAAATCATTATATTTATATTTTTTGTCTGTCCTGTTTCAATTGTCTATTATCTTTTCTCATTAAACAAAATTTCTCCTGTAGTTACTGATTGGAGTATGACGCCTTTATATCTTTCCCCTAAAGCTATAACACTTAGTATAATACGTAACTTCTATTCAGATTCTGCTTGGTACATTCTTAAACTACACACAATATTCTTGAAAAGAAAAAAAAAAGAAAAAATTATAAATGTATATAATTAGGACAACATTCCATTCCAATTCAATTCTATCATTAATATTAATATTCATTAAAGTCTTAACATTTTTCACGTTATTTTTCAATTAAATATCATACTTCTATGGGAACAATTATAAACTTTCCATAGTTAATTCCCCCCACCTTCACTTATCTTTTATAAAACATTGACTAATTAAAATGTTCCCGTTCCTTCCTAATTCAATTTTCTCATTTATTTTATTTCATTTACTTTATTCACAAACATTTCATTAAATTACACTATTTTATCCCTCATTCTAATCATATGTTGTTTCCAATTTTCTAAAGTTATTTCTATTACAAATATAACAATACAATCTTATGTACCTTTACAGAATCCCCTTTTCAGTTAGATTTACACCCATTATCTCTAAATAGGTCCTGTTTCTTTATATCTTGCTCTGGACCTTTGTGACTTCTTTTCCTTTCCTTCTTCACTCTCTTCTTCTCCCTCCCCTTTTTACCCCTTTGTCTCTCTACCTCTATTTTCCTCTTCTGTATTCCCCTTTTCTGTTGCTTTCCAGTATTATACTTATTTTTCGAATTATTTTTCTTTTCTTTGGTTGTTTTTTTAAGTCTTAAATTCTCCATCCTCTTTCCCCGCTTTCCTTTTTCTTCCCCACATAAAATTACTTGTTCATTAAAGATGGCCTCTTCTTTGTCCCAGTCTTCTTGTTTTGCAGTCTTTTCTTGTTGTTTCTCATAGTTCCAGATCTCCATTTCTAAGAATTGAAAAACGAAGCCAAAAGAACCCTTCCCTTCTTGGGCATCTTCTTTGTACGTTTTAAGTTCCATTTTCAATTCATCCAAAAGTGATGCCATTGTAGAATTTTTTAAACAACCACTCGATTGATTTTAGTCATTCAAATATAATAACCAAAAATCCAAAAGTCACCAAGTAATCCAAATACACGCAAGCTGTTTCTCTTTGCTCTTCCTTTTTTTTTTCCACTTTCTCTTCCTGGGGTTACTATTTAGTTGCAAAGTTTCAGTTAAAATGTATCTTTTACAAGTCTTATTGAAATTTTACTTTAGATTCTTTTAAAGTCTAGACAGTCTCCTCCCTCTTCCAGATCCTGCCCTTATTCTTTTTCTCTCCCTTCCTGCTTATAGAAGAAAAAGTTTTTAATGTCCAGAAATCTTTATTGTCCCTTTGGCATTTAGTTAATCCAAAGCGGATTTTTCCAATTTCTTAGTCTCTTAGTTGTCAATATAAGGAAGGAGAGAGAGAGAAAAAAAGCCAAACATTTCCCTTTTCACTTTCTTTCGCTGCTTCTGACTCTTCTTTGGGAGTGATGTTATTTCTTGTAAAATTTAAATTCCAGGGTACCTTAGTTGTTGCCTTTTCAACTTAGCCTGGTCAGCCAAAACTTTCACTTCTTATCTTCCTCCTGCACATTCTTTTCCAGTTGAGTTCTTCTTTGAGGTGGCCATTTCTGACCACTGCTCCTACTGCCTTTGGGAAAGGGAGTAATGGCCAGCTGAGGAGGAGAGATGCGGCTCTCCTCGACCCTGCTGGCAGTCTCCCCCCTCTTCACCACCTCTACGGGGTGGCTTAGCCCTGAAACCAGCTAGCTCAGGGCGCTCCAGCGGCGAGCCCAGGCGGATTCCTGTCTGTCGCCGAAGCCCTTCAAACCGGAAGTCCCCTTTCCAAGCAGTATGTGATCAGAGCTGCCGTCTCTCTATAAATACTGGTGGTGGGGGCTGGTGTGCTGGGCTGGTTGGCTGCGCTGCTGCCTCTTGATTGGTTGATGGAGTTGATGTTGGTATAATGGGCTGTGTGATGGCCTTGTGAGTTTTGTTGTAGAGATATCCTGGATCTTGTGCTGTAATCTCCTGGATCGTTTGGTTTGTAGTGATCTTTTTTCCATTAGCCTCTCGTGTTTTAATGGCTTGGGTAATGGGTTGTGTGATGGGCTTGCAAGTTCTTTGGTTGTGGTATCCTGGGTCCTGCGTTGTAATCTCCTGGGTCGTTTGTGTTTGATCCCTTTTCCATTAGCCAACCAGCCCAGTACACCAGCCCCCCCCCCCCCCCCCACAGTATTTATAGAGATGGCAGCTCCGATCACACACTGCTTGCACTGGTACGAAGCCGAAAGCACCAGCCTGAGGATGGCGAGTGGGCCTTCGCCGAAACGTCGCCAAGATACTCTTAACCTTACATGGGAAAAGACCCGAATACACCTAGACCTACATACCTGTACCCATGAAAATCTATATATATATATGAATGAATTAATGATAGATACTTCAGAAAGTACACTGAATTAAACAATATTACTGAATTCATCTAATCTGTTTCTTTGGCCTCTTGGTTTTCTTTTCACAATCCATTCCATGTTTTATTTGTAATAACTCATGTTTAGGTTGCTGCCTTAGTTTGGGTACAGTCCAATCTAGTCAATACTTATTTGCAGCATTTCTATGAGCCTACAGTGCCTATTGTCTCCTATGGATGTTCTTGCCTTGCTTTTTTCAGCATCACCCTTGAAAATCTGTCTTTTAAAAAATCCTAGCTGTTTTGTTATCCTTTGCTAGATGGAATCCGTATAAAGCCTGAAGGATGCATCATCCTTCATCCTCAATCTGCAGAAATCGGATGGCTCTGAAAAACCAGTTTGCTTTGCAAATAAAATATAGTCATAGAAAAATCTTGAGCTGTAGCCATTACAGCAAGCCTGCAGCTTTTAAATGCCACCCGAGGGACCGAACAATCTTTCTTATCATGCTGATGCTTCTGGGTATTACCATTTACTGCGGAAGCACCAATGTTCAAAGAGTAAAAACTGAAGCCCTCCGACCACTCTTAGACCCCCCCCCCCCAATCCTCTGACTTTTAATTTCTTGCCACGCCTTGGCATAGACAGAAATCTATTTCCTAAGGAAGAGGTTGTGGAATAAAGATGGTTTTAGAGACAAGCGGTGAATCCCCCGCCTTGGGGACACCCAGCATCCTTCTTCCCGGGGCGGGGCGGACCGGATCACATCTCTTCCCTTTTCGGACAAGGCTCCGCGCCTCTCATTGACCCAACCTCCCTCCAGCCAGCCCGATTTCCCACTGCGCCTCTCGTAGAGGCCAGACGTCCCCTTGTAACCGGGCCCTCTTTCCGCCCCGCCGAAGCTTTCATTACCTTAACAACCAACGAGGCTCGTCGTTAGCGCCTACCAAGGCCAGGCCTCCGTACTACGGCTCCCCGCGCGGGTCAGAAAGACTAGAAACGTCAGGATTCTGTCTTCAGGAGGAGGGGGAGGAGGAGGAGCCTAGCGAAGGGGGAGGGGCGAAAAGAAAGATCTTGGCAGACGCGGAGGATCTGTTCTGTAGCACTAGAGGTTCTCACGTTTCTGCCAGGTTTTCTCTTAATCCCGATGTAGCAAAGCTGCTGTTTGCCACGCGTCAGACCGGGCGCTACACCAGCTTCTCATCATGTGCATTTTATAGAAAAGGTACAGGCTCAGCGCCAGTAAGCAAATCGGAACAAAAACGGCGGAGAATACATTAATCCCTTTCTTCCAAGGAGAAAATTCAGGATGATACACTCATGGTTGTATTTTTGTCTTTTAGAAAGGATGTTATATTGTTTTGTCTATTATTGAATATATCCTAAGAGGCGGGAAGGGAAGGGAAGGGAAGGGAAGGAAGGGATCTAAAAATAGAAAAAAAAATTCCCTTCTCCCACACCCATATTATACTAAGACTACTTATAAATTGGCTTGGTCTCCTGTCATAAGTGAATTTATGTACAGAATAAAAACATAGTCTTATTCAATTAAAGAACAGTCTAGCAATAAGCTTCCTAACAGACAGGAAGCAGCAGGTGAAGTTAGGCAGAATCATATCCGATACCTGTACAATCAGCACAGGGCCTCCCTAAAGCTGTGTGCTATCTCCACTTCTCTTCTCCCTATATACCAATGACTGCATCTCAAATGATCCATCTGTTAAAATTCTGAAGTTTGCTGATGACACAGCAGTGATTGGTCTCATTCGAGACAACGATGAATCTGCATACAGACAGAAGGTTATACAACTTGCCTCATGGTGTAACAAGAACAATCTGAAACTGAACACACTCAAAACCATAGAAATGGTGGTAGACTTTAGAAGAAACCCTCCTATACTACCACCTCTTACAATACTAGACAACACAGTATCAACAGTAGAGATCTTCAAATTTATAGGTTCTATCATATCACAAGACCTAAAACGGACACCTAACACCAAAAACATCATCTAAAAAGCACAACAAAGAATGTTCTTTCTGCGCCAACTCAGAAAGCTCAAACTGCCCAAGGAGCTGCTGATACAGTTCTACAGAGGAATTATTGAGTCTATCATCTGCACCTCTATAACTGTCTGGTTTGGTTCTGCAACCCAACAGGACAGACACAGACTTCAGAGGATAATTAGGACTGCAGAACAAACAATTACTACCCACCTGCCTTCAATTGAGGAACTGTATACTGCACAAGTGAAAAAGAGGGCTGTGAAAATATTTACAGACCCCTCACATCCTGGACATAAACTGTTTCAACTCCTTCCCTCAAAACGATGCTATAGAGCAGTGGTCCCCAACCTTTTTTGTACCAGGGACCAGCGGCCCGGTACAAAATGATCCATGGACCGGTACCGGCATCAGCACGCACGACCAAGGCAAGGCGAGCCGAGTGACCGGCCAGCCAGCTGTCCCTCGCTTCTCCCCGCCACCTTCAACTCCTCCTTTGTACCTTCTCGTGGTCGATGGGCTTTTTGGGCTCTTTCTTAATCTCCTCCTGAGTAACGCAAGACTCCACCGCCATCGGGACAGCTCTTCATTCGAAGCCGCCCCCCTCTCGATGAAACTAAGGTGCGAGGATTCCTTCAGCACCCAAACACCGCTTTCCAACCGACGACCAACAAGCTCACCCGGAAGCACTTTCTCAAGCGCCGTCGAAACAAGATGGCGGCGCCCAAGTACCAGCGGACTGGTACAAAATGATCCACGGACCGGTGGTTGGGGACCCCTGCTATAGAGCACTGCACACCAGAACAACTAGACACAAGAACAGTTTTTTCCTGAAAGCCATCACTCTGCTAAACAAATAATTCCCTCAAAACTGTTCATCTATTTACAAAATCTGCACTACTATTACTATTAATCTTCTCACCACTCCTTATCACCCATCCCCTCCCACTTGACTGTTTCCTAGTATGATTTGATTGTTGATTATACCTTATGACTATCATTAAGTGCTGTATATTATGATTCTTGATTCTTAATGTATATTCTTTTCTTTATGTATACTGAGAATATTTACACCAAGACAAATTCCTTGTGTGTCCAATCACACTTGGCCAATAAAACTATTCTATTCTATTCTATTCTATTCTATTCTATTCTATTCTATTCTAATAGTCTTATGGTGTGGATAGCAATAATAGATTTAATATGATGATGATGATGATGGTGGTGGAAAGTATAATTTAGTTCTAAAAGATCAAGCAGCATATTCTATAGAACTGCATTAGAATCATGGCACTGATTGAAGTGAATATTTGTAGCTCAGGATTGAACTACAGGTTTGTAACATCTGCAAGAAAACCACCAAGCTCAGAGAGCACCAAGGGCCCCATAGAATTATAGTATCTGTTTTTTGAACATTTCAATGTGAAGCATACATATTAAATCAATCAATCAGAATAAAGTTAGAAAGGACCTTGGAAATCTAGTCCAGTCCCCTGCTCAAGCAGGAGACCCTATACCATTTCAGACAAGTGGCTGTCCAGTCTTAAAAAAAAATGCCAGAGATGAAGCACCTACAACTTCTGAAGGCAAGCTGTTCCACTGGTTAATAGTCCTCAGAGTTAGGAAGTTTCTTCTTAATTCCAGGTTGCTTCTCATCAAAGAGAGAAGCAACCTGGAATTAAGAAGAAACTTCCTAACTCTGAGGACTATTAACTATTTCATTAGTTTCCATCCATTGTTTCTTGTCCTGCCTCTGGTGCTTGGAAAAATAGTTTGACCCTCCCTCCTCTTTGTGGCAGCCTCTCAAATACTGGAATATTGCTATCATGTCCACCTTAGTCCTTCTTTTCTCTAGACTGGCCAAACCCAAATCCTACAACCATTCTTCATATGTTTTAGTCTCCAGGCCTTTAATATGGATGCCATTACAGGTAGTCCTCAACCAAAATTGAGGCCAAAATTTCTGTTGGTAATTAAGACAGTTGTTAAATCAATTTATGTCCCATTTTATGACTTTTTGCCATGTGATTGTTAAATGAACCCGGCTTCCCACATTAACTTTGCTTGTCAGAAGCTTTCTAAGGTTGCAAATGGCAATCCTGGGTTGCCAGGAATCTGCAACCATCATAAACATACAAGCCAGTTGCCAAACACCCAAAGTTTGATCACGTGACTGTGGGAATGCTGAAATGGTCATATGTATGAAAACTGGTCATGTCACTTTTTTACAGGGCCGTTGTAACTTCGAACAGTCATCGAATGAATGTTGTAAGTTGAGAACTATCTGTAGTGAAATAAAGGCATCCTTAAATGTTCAGAGGTATTTTTATATAAAGTGCTCCTTTAAAAATATAAAATGGATATTAATCAAAGATGGAACCCAAAGGAGTTCCATAATTAACTTACAGCTCTTTACCAGACAGATGTTAACACCAAAACAAGGCCATTTTCTCTTTGAATGAAACAAAAGTCTAATATCTCAACCAACTCTATGCCTATTCAGATGTACTAGAAATCTCCTGATATACTTTGTCCTAAAGGCTAGATTTGTAAATTATATTTATTACTAATGTGATCGAAATATATCCCACAAGGTTTTCAGGGGCAACTCTTGAATCTTATTGAAGACAGTACAGTGGAACCTTAATCTGATTTAGCATGACAATATTTAAATAATTATGACTTGAAATTTCTATTTTAAGAAAAATTCTGTTTCTATTTTGTTTTATACTGTTTATTTATTTTAGGTTTTATATTACTTGTTATATTTGATATTGCTTAATACCAAATATAAGATGCCATATAAAAATTTAAAATATTAAGCAGTATAAACAAAATAGAATAAAACAAAAGATGGTAAAAGAGAAAAAACAGTCTTAATAGTGTTATCATTCCATGATTAGGACATCTTATGATTTCTTATGGAAATCATTGTACATAGAAACTTAACAAATCTAAAGGTAATGGTAGAATTCTAATTACTGGTAGGAAATGAATTGCCTCCCATAAAAAGATACTGGGGAGAGGGGGTTGCAAGGGAGTACAATATACATATATATAAATTAGTATAGAAAAGGCAGTGGGAAAAATACATGTGATAATTTTTTAGGTTCATTCTGATCACAAGGACATCATCTCTTACTGAGGGTACAACAAAATAATCAGTGGTGGGGGTTTTCTTTGATCTAGCATGGCCATATTTAAATAATTGTTGGAGTTTAAAATCTTGTTTGCCAAGATTTCTTAAGATATAACAGCTTTGAAGATTTCTTTTTTATTTATCCTAGATATTTCTGTGGAATAGAAAGATAAGGGAATTGCTTGAAGTTCACATCATAGTGATTTGATCTGTGACAAATCACTTATAAAGCTTGATAAGCACTTCCAAATTTCCATTTTAGGAATGTAATCACTAGGAGCTTCACATTAAGGTTACCAGAGTTTAAGAGATGTAAACAGGATGTTTCAAGGGAAATTAAAAGGAAATGGTTGTTGATCCCAGGAAGGCAAAAAGGTCCAATTGACCCCAATGAAAAGGGGGGGGGGGTGTTGCTGGGGAGTAATAGGATTTCATCTAAAGTGTATCAGGGAGGAAGACTTCCCCTTCCTATTCACTGTCATCTAAACAAAAATCGTACTCCACTATTATCTCTTTTGATTAAAAAACAAACAAACCCTGAGATTTTAGCCTTATCACTGATTTGATCGTAAGGATTCAATCTTGGTTGATGTTGGAAACTTATAGTCTTATTCTGGAAGAGAGAATGGGTATTTTTATCTTTTCACTCCCCTTCAATCTTTTACTACTGCACCGGAAGATTAGAGCAATTCATGTAAAAAAAACCCCAACTTTAGGAAACCCTCCAAAATAACTCCCTTTCCAAGTAAAAATATACTGATATTGACAAGCAGGCATTAATCATACAACACATTTATCTCTGAGTGACTTATATTGCCATTTCATCTTCATTTCATCTGATTCAGCTACTCCTCTACAATTCAAGACTTCAAAATG